GCCAGACGCACCCCCGGACCTCAACGCACGATACCCATATGGTGCTGATGTAAGTTTTATATCACTCATCTATACTAATATTAAAAGGAAATATTTGTATTTTTGTGTGTATTGAAATAACTAAAAAAAAAAATGTACGGATGAATTGAGAACCTCCTCCTTTTTGAAGTCGGTTAAAAAAACTGGGCTGTTGTTAATAATTCTTTCACCATTAAAAAGCTATTATCACAGTACTCAATATGGTACTAGATAGGTTATCCATTTTTATTTATATTAATGTTATAAAAAGGGTTTTTTTTATTTTTGTATGTACTAAAGTAACTCAAAAACTACTGGACTGATATTATTAATTCTTTCACCATTAGAATTTATCTGTGACTAACACAGATTGTAATTTTTTTTAATTTCACGCGGACGAAGTCGCGAGCAACAGCTAGATTATCTGTAATCCATGAATAAGGAAATTTAAGAAATATTAAGAATCCAAAAAGATTAATCTAATTTGTTTGCAATGAGATTTTGTATATAACGTCTTTATTAACGACAGTAATTGAATTATGAAGTAATTGTTACGTTTTACACTGAAAACTGTTTTTTTACACTTTGAGAAAATAATTTTTACTAATATTTTTTGCAGGTTAACTTTATATATTTTTTTTTAAATTGCAATGAGCTTTGATATGTTTATTCAGGCTGAGGAGTGGAGTAACTATGAGGCGAGCGAATCAGGATACGCGGGGGTGGCGGTCGCAGCGAACCCCATGTTGCGCCGCAACCAATACTGGGTGTGACCCGCGACCCCCGCCGTCCCCCACACGCTGCACAACACGCGTACCCTGCCCTCGCAACGCATGCAGGGTACGTGAATTGATACTCTAAACATATATACTGCAATTATACTAACGGCCAAATACACTGTTGTATGTATATAACTACCGCACTATTATAAATACTTTAAAAATTAAAAAAAAAATAATTTGAATCCTATATTTTTTTATTTTTCCCTTGTTATAATACCTATCTTGCAGTAAATATGATTTTTTTAAATACTTCGCTACGTAAGTGCCGCTTTCAATCTGATAGACGTAAAATTTTGAAATTTGGAGTTTAAGCATAGCTTTAGATATTTTAATGTTAAAGTATTCGACTGTGAGTCTTCTTAGTAATATAAATGTGAATGTTTAGATGGATAAATGTTAGTTAGAAGGTATCTCCAGAATGGTATTGGTTCATATGTAGATCATAGTTTGTAAGAAGACATAGGCTATTATTTTTATTAATTACGCCCAGACGAATTCGCTGGGAAAAATTGGCTATATAAAGATCCGCCTAAAAATGGCGAATAAAAGGCCTTTATGTGCCTTTGTTGAAGACAAAAAACAGACAATTTATTTTAACTAACTTGATTTTATACTTCTGTATTTTTATAATTAATATGAACTGTGGTTTTTTATTCCAGCGGCAGGATCCGGACACGATCAATACCTTTCTCTGAACCGGGGCCAATTCCGCCGTCGGCCCGAATTAGTTCCTACGCCATTTCTACTCAGTAACTATGGCGTTAAAAAACATGTCACATGTGAAGTAACCGTTTAATAAAAATATAGTCGAATTTAATATAAATTACAAATTTAATTTACCTATCTAGGAATTTTTGTTTTAATAAAACTATCTTTATGACACACATGTTTGTGTCAATTTAAATAAAGTTATCAAAATAAAACCATAGACAATGATGTTATTATTGTTAATAATTTGTTATTTCAATTGAATTCGACTATATTGTCTAGATATGTTTGTATGGCGAATCGGTATTTGTTTGAAACGCAATATCAATATGAAATATCATTTATAAGGTGATTATTAAAAGCAATAATTACGCCTGCTATTGGGTTGACTTAAGAATACAAACTTAACACGATTGTATGAATTTTGAAAAAGTGTTGAAATGTACTTAATGTTATTACAATTTTAATGGAATAATTAATGTTAATTGTACTTTTGACATGAAAATGATCCATTTTAGAAGAAAATGACGAAAATTATGGTCAATTTTGTTGTTTTTGAAGACCTTTGATAGATTGTTTTCGGTGTAAAACGTGTTTGAAGCAAATGGCCGTATGTTCCTAGACTGTTGTAGCGCATGGCAATCGTATAATACTGCCAATGTGTGATGTTTGTTATCTAAGTAAGGAACTTGTAGAGAAATGTTAGTATTTAATGTACTTTTAGATTTGACAGGTTTATTCTGATGCGTTAGTTGCAGAAGGAAATTGGTCATAGTGACTGACTTTATATTATTGTCTTTGTTTTATTTAAGGCGGATGTAAGGGATGTCACTATTAATATAAATGCAGTCGATATCCACTGTAAATTCGTCAACATTTAGTGAGTTTTTTTTAATCAATTGTTGCCAAATCACGTGCCAAATAGTTATACACATGTTAAAATAATTTGTTAGCGATTTACAAGTGCAGTAATTTCATTATATTAATAGAATATTTAGTTTTAGATTTAAGTAATAATTTTGTACTGATATCGTTTAATTATATTTTAGTGTGTAAGAGTATTAACGCCAATTTTTTGTCCCTTTCGTAAATAAATATAGCCCAAATGGTTGCGTTATTTAAGTGAATTAAACTACAATAAATACATTTATATTGTAAACTAAAAAATTGAAATTAGTTTTGAATGCTTCTTGTCTAAAAAAACTTCTATATCTTGTCTCCCCATTTTAATAAAATCCATCTACATGCCCTTCCCTTGGACTTCTCAATATTTGCATCCATTATTAACATAAAAAAACATTCCATAATTATTAAAAAAAAAACATGTTTTTACGCCAAATTTCTTAGTATCAATATAGATTTACTTAATTACTTTTGTCAGTTGCTGCACGATATATAAATAGATAACTTTCTCTATATCTTCTAATGTAGTCTATGTTCTCTTTCATGTAATTATTTTACATGTTTCCTAAACACTTGTTAAATGTGGACGCAAATTCTGCCCTATGTAACTACCATTTTATATACCAATCACCCTTAGAAACGTAAAGGGTGTCTAAAATATCCATTATTGAAAATGTTAAATTGATTTTTTTTTTTAGTAATACCTCTTCCATCTTTACGAATTCCAGAATCTTTTATATTCCATTGTCTATACACTAATGTGAGACCATTCATTTTAAGTAATGACATTTAGAGTCCCTGCACACAAGACAAAAGCACTTTTATCGGGCGATAGTTTGGTCAGTTCGGGATAAGTTAAATTCATATCAAACGAAATCGGTAAAATGTGCGCACCATATATGTTTATACTGATTAAGTACCCGACTGTCGACCGATTAAAAATCTATAGTCTACAGGAACCATTACTGTAACGTAGTTTAAGAATGAAAATGTACCTGCAAGATACTGGTTTTAAAGTATATTAAACTGATAGTGTGTGTATTACAAAATATTCAAACTCATGTAAAACGCATATATTTAGTGTTACTTTGTCTCAATTGCCTGTAACATGTGTACAGTCGCGGAAATTCGCGTTGTTCTACTTTCAGAAAAACTACAAACTCCACCCTTAAACAAAGAATCAATTAGGTTAGTAGTTTTCTCAAACAACGGGATAGTAATATAGAACAATTAGCCGGGTTCAACTGTGTGCGATGGGTTCAAGGGACTAGATTTAAAGTTGGAATACCGCCAAATTCCCCGACTGTACTTAAACTTTTGTCAAACAAACAACAATATGTATAGTTTGACCGGGAATATAAAAACCCTTGCCATATTGCGGACAAATGTGGAATTAATTCTTCGAACATTATGTGATATTTAAAAAAAAAGTGATAGAAGTGCCTCCAGGGCAGGATTTTTATGTTCTGGGTTTGGTTGTACAGCTGTTTCTTCTCACAGTTATATATACATAAATATAGAATTATTACTCATTATATTTCTATACGAACAAAAGCAGTATTATATTCAGAGTTTTGACTGATTACTACTGTTATATACATTACATATTATAAACATATACATTTACATATTGGTATATTCATATAGTCTAAAATACAATCTGTTTGCTATTTGATACCACATTGATGTTTAGGTACCACGATTGTATTGAAACTACAAGCATATACAAGCAAAGCAATGTTAATGTCATTTTCCCGCAGTCGGGGGAAATTAAGCTAAATAAGAGTGCAATTGTTAAAAAATGTATCGTTAACTTAGGTCAATAGTCAAGGTAAATGGATTTGTGATAGATCATCCAATAACACAACGTACAAATATATAGCAATATTAAATGAATGCGATTTTGAAATAGTTTATAGGGTGATTTTTCTAGTTCTGTTGTTTGATAAATTGGACTTAGAAATAATAATTGTGCCTGTAAATACGACAAATATGCGCTTTATATTGATTAGTGGGAACACTGTCGGAGAATTTCCCTTAATTACTAAATGTGATACTTATGTTGTTGGAATAAAATTGAAATCAGATTGCAAATAATGAATGTAAACCTGGGTTCACACATTACTAAAAAGGATGTCGCTGTCTCCGTTTTTATCATAGGCAGTGAAAGAGATAGCGATGTGAACACTAGTTAAAGGCTCAAAATATCTGTCCATTCTCAATAGAATTTATTACTAAATGAAAAACTGCGACAGTGATCTGCCTAATCTTAATCATTTAAATTTAGCAATAGTGTAATGTGAAATAATTCTGTGAAAGAGATACATTTATATTTTGTATTTTTTTCTTGATAGTGTCAGGGATCGATCTATTCCTGTTAGATCGCTAAGTATTGAGAATGTTCAATTGTTCTAAGGGTTTAAAATATTAGAGGGTGAACAATATGACATCGAGCCGTTTACAACTGAACCCAATAATCGATGTTTAATCGGAGATATCAATATTAGAAGCAAATCGACAAAGTAAGCAAGAACGGTTTCAGCTCGATTATTAGGTTCATCCATTAAACAGTAACGTAATAATGTTAGTCAAACGGGAGTAGCAACTCTTAAGGATTTTTGCACACGCAAAACCACTAAATGCAAATTTTGCCGGTTCCTATGCTTTGTGTAAGACAAAAGGCTTTCGTAATTATAACATAGATTGTCATATTCGACGGTGATAAAAACATTCTAAATAGGCTACGTTTATGTGTGAAATAAGATTGTCTCCTACTCAAGTGACTTCAATCTCGGATAACCGAGATCTAGTATACAAATACATTTCTCTGGTACATCGTCCTTAGTTTCCGGAATAGGCTACGTGTTATCAGTGTGGAATTAACTCTGCCGTTTGTTTTTCTAACATTTCCTGTAGTAGTGAGATATCCTCCTTGGAACATATATAAACTTTCTTAAAAAATCATATAAATATGCAATGGATATAGTATTGAAATTTAAAATTTAAATGAAATAGTCTGATGAATACAAAAATCTGTAAAATGGTGATATTTTTTCACTCACACTGTCGAGACTTGACTCAACACCGTGTACAATACTGTCTTGTTAATAAGTAAACTATAAATCGTGTGCAAGAACCCTAACAGTTAAAGCTGTCGACATTACTGCAGATACGCGTTCGTTGCGATTGTAAAATATGAATGCATTTTGTATTTAGTATTTGTTTCCTAAGCGCAGAGTCGATAATGATTTGTGTATTTCTACCAGATAGATATTATATGAGTTTTTAATAAATAAAATAAATTAACTCGCATTTTTTTTTTTTTTTATTTTTGTACTATAATTAAAATGTCTTATTGATAAACATTTACCTAGATATTTCGTATACGCGTCTTTACATTACATACCATATCCCTAAACTAATTACATTGAAAGAGGTTATTATTTTAATATCTGAGAACATTTCATCTTTTACCAAAATTAATTTTTAGTGTTGTTGTTTTTATATGCTACCTACACCTATATTTAAAGTAGTAATTACTGTTGAAATCAGTCGTGTATCTAATACAGGTTTTTAATTGGAAAATCCCACTTTTACAAATTTAGTTAAGGATTTTTTTAAATGAAATTTAATCAACTTCTAGCTTCCTAAAGTTGCCAGTGAGACCTCTCATGGCGTCGCCGACCGCGTCGTTGCACGAAGTATTGCCGCGTAATGCAGACACAGCGCCCTCGCGCGCCGCCTCGCTGTACATTTCCAAACGCACACCCATCTTGTCGTTCAACAACAAAATTCCGCGCTTATCTGACAACTCTTTCTTCCATAGTTCTAAAAATAAAAGAAAACAGCATTTTATTTTTACAATGACTATAGCTGGACCTTTTAATGAACAATTTAGTTACGTTATACAGTAAAGGAATCTATTTCTTTTGCCTTCATAGAAACTTTCGTTTTGTCGTTCTTTTCTTCCTGTAAATGTTGACGATTCTAGGGAAATCGCGAATCAAATTTTACTTTGTAACACAGATAAGTATCAGGATTACATAAAACCTTACCGATCATGTCTTTCATCGGCATTATGCCTCCATATTCCTTAGGCAGCAGTTTCTTATCGATCTCGACGTCATCTACAGCCGTGTACAGTTTCACTCGCTTTCTTATCTTTTCTGATATCAAACCCATGCCGAAGTCCAATGCGAACTTTATAGTGGGATGCACGTTTACACCGTAGATCTCCTTGTGTCTTAATGGAATTGTACGCTAAAAATTTTTACTTGTTTTATTTTAATTCCTTAATGGTTACTCACACAGCGCCATACTGAATACCTTACCTCGCCATTTTTAACGATTCTCACAGCTTCTTTAGGAGTGAATAGCGTGAGATGGGGGAAGCCGACACCGCCGCCGTCCGCGAAGTGCACCAGCCCCTGCACCTGCGACTCCTCGTCCTCCATTAAAGTCTCATAGCAAATCCCCATCACACGACACATGTCCTGGTTCGTGTATTTATATGGATCAAATACACCTGTGAAATACGCATATATTGCTTATAGTACATGACTAGTATAGTAACTATTGTTTTATCGGTGGTAAGATTTATTTAAAAAAGGTTATCTACATCTTTGAGATACCAGCTGTTGCTCGCTACTTCGACCGCGAGGAATTAAAACAAAAACAAAATTATGTAGCCTCTGTGTTATTCCAGACTATCCCCTACGTCTATGCTAAATTTCATAGAGATCCTTTGAGTCTTTTAGGCTACAAACTCTAACAAACATTCATCCATCTAAACTTTCGCATTCATTATATTGGTAACTATAGCGAGATTACTGTTTTCCCATAAGACATCACTCGTCAATCCATAAATTATAGAATGAAATAAATATCTTTACCTGGTCTGTATATTACAACACGTCTACCGGCTTTGTCTTTGTATGGACTCACAAAAATGTACCTGAAAATGAAAGAAATAATGATTAACATAAATAAAACAATTGAAAGATCATTTCTAAATGCTTATCTACGTAACAATTCCATGTGCAATATTCAAGGTGTCTAGGCGCAGTAATCAAATGTTACCCTAAATCAATGATTTCTGTCATAGTTGGCAGCGTGTGGTCGAGCTGGTTAAAAGCGATTCCCCAGGACTGACGCAATAGTATGTAACGCTCGATCGCCTCTTGTGCCATCGGGACGCTAAACTTCTTCGTGCGGAGGAACCGAAGCAGGAATACCGAATCTGAGAGGTACAAAAATACAAAACAATTCATAATCTTAAGCTGCTAAAGTATATTAGAATTCACTGCGTTTTCTTCTCAAAAGCAATATAATTAGAGTTTACTTTTATATAAAGTCAAGTTCACATAGAACTAGCCATATCGGCCTAAATTCAAGCCAGAAAATATTACATTGAAACATACCCATTCTGATTGCCATGAACTTTGGATTCTGTTCCAACCACTTCCTGAGGGCATCGAGAGCCTGACTCCTCGCGTTAGGAGTTTCCCGTAGTTCCTCCAGAGCCACAGCCTGAGTATCTGAAGACAGCGGACACTCATATGTGTCTGATGAGGTCAGATAACGTTTAGTTAACCGCTTCGACATGTTGCTGCTGGAAAGGTTAATAACATTTTTAATATTACGAGGAACTTGATTATAAAATCTATACTAATATAATAAAGCCTTAACACACACTACATCGTGGCGTAGGATGTCTTTGAAGATTTCTCCCCCGCCAAAAAAAGGATGTCAGCAATCACAGTATATTTTTGAATAACTCTATCTTTAATAAAAAGTCCTGCACTTACGACACGCTTTAGGCTATACATATATTTTCATGCTATTAAACTAAGGGGGTAAGTAAATAGGAACAAAACCTTTATGTGGGAAAGATACCACAAACTACAAGCTGCCAGCTTTAATGAAGCAAGGTTATTTTGGTAACGGTAATTTTGACATTTGCCATTAAGAATTTGACAAATGTAAACAATAACATACAGTTTTTATTATTTAATGAGGGTGAAGCCGCACGGGACACCTACTTAACTAATGAATTGTTAAGAAATAAGAACTAAAACTAATGTAATAATTGAAATCAATAATACAGTGTAATCTTGATTAGGCTATGATTATAAAAAACTATACAAAACCTTTATCTCAACATAATGTGGTTACTAGATGTGAAGTTGGTCAACGCGCATAATTTAACTAACCTACTTCCAGCGGCCGCATGCAATAGAACCTGGCTGCATCGTGAAATAACCTGATGATATCTATAATGTGGTAAATTGAATAACATGTTGCGATATGCACTTCTCCCTACCCCTTCATTTTGATACTGACTAGGTTTAACTCACGACGTCGTCTGCGCGGAATTAAAAAAAAGTAATAAGTACGAGTTACTCAGTGATAATGTAACTTTCTAAGAAGTTTTGAAATCGGTCCAGTAGTGTTTAAGTTTATTCGTTACATATAAGGTACATAATCTTCCTATTTTATAATTTAATTTATCTTGATTTGCTTATTTATATATAGTACATAACATATTTCACAAGATTTGTATAAAGATAAAACATATAATGGAAAAAAAGAGCACCACCGGCTGCGGAATCCGATGGCTCAAGCAACCAGTTTTATTAATATAAATTAATTAAATTAGTAATAGCAAATGTTATGTACGCCAGTATTTACATATATATAAGAAACGATACTGTCAACTAACTCATTGTAAGTGTATAATATATATGTTGTGGTTGTACTTAAATAAATAAATAAACCAGTGGTTAGGGCTGCAGAGACAGGAACCTTCACTCACTTAATCCAACAATATCCAGCGAGAGCTCCTTTGGATGTTTGTCGAAACTCTTCGCTATTAGCCCATGCACCAAAACGACTATCGGAATGATGGTAGTCAATTGTGCATAGAACTAAATTACAAAGTAATCAAATTCCTTTGAATTGCATTGACAGTTGGGGAAGTTTATATCCTACCCATAATGAAATTGTCATTAACTTTCACAGTGCGATGCAGTCGAAAACATAAATTCGAGCTATACTATAGCTTTTACCTTCTATCATTATTGGATTAACTTAAAAAAAAATTCTGTTCAAGATATATATTACTATAATGTATTTGCATTTGCAAAGTAAAACCATTGCTTTTGAACTTAACATGAATTAGTCGATATGTATGATGAAACATTCGTTGACCCTCTTTAAATTGTTGTGATTCGTTGTGTGCCGGCTCTGAGCTTTAGAAGTTTGCAATTTGCTTTCACGCAATCGTATCGTATTGCTTCATTTGACATATTTAATCTAAGACTCGATGGTTTGAAAACCTTTCTATAATACTAAAAACGAATTTTAAATACATTATGGTATCAAACGTATTTAGTGCAGGCTCCGAGCCCCTCAGTGAGAGGTATATTGAGCTGGTGATGTGTACTTAGCTGTAACATTATTATCATGGACAGATAATGACTGGTGACATATTATTGTTAAATGACTTGTTATTTGTTACATTTGTATTAAATCAATGGTTTGTAAACGATTATTTTATTTACATACAAGCTTTCGCCCGCGACTATGTCCGCGTGGTAATGAAAAAAAACAGAAGTGAATAGCCTATGTGTTCTTTCCAGCCATCCAGACTATCTTCTACATCTATGCCCAATGTCATCGAAATCCGTTAAGCCGTTTATGCTACAAACTCTAACAAACATCCATTCATCCATCCATCTAAACTTTCACATTTATAATATTAGTAAGATATCTTTAAAATTATCTAAGTACGTAATATCAATCGAAATCGTGCGATTTCGTTTTACTAAAATTTTAAATGCGACAGTTCAGATGGACGGGTGGATGGATGGATGATTGTTAGTAGGGTTCGATGGCAACCCTCTGGATCCATTGATCTCGACGAAATTTGTCACTGATGTCGGACATAGTCTAGAAGAACACATAGCCTAGTAACTTTTGTCTTAATTCCGTGCGGACAGAGTCGCGAGCTATAGCTAGTAATTAAATATGTACAAAAAATGCATAATAAATATTGACATATATTTCTTTAAGAAATTTTCATCACTAATTTATCTTACTTACCTTTTATCGAATCAATAAAAATTAAAAAAATAACAAATGTAAATTCGTTTCCACACGTAGTAACCCGACAACGCACTGCACTAGACTACGGACGGAATTCAACGGACACGGTATTTTGCTCAGAAAAGTACAACACTTTCAACTGTAATATTTTGGCTACACAGAGATTGGCAGTGTCGGCAATGTCGCATATATCGTAAACATTTTGCAAAGTTGTCAATCTAACGCAATAGACTTATGTTGGATTTCTGAAGTTTCCAATTATTTTATCATTACCTATTCATTACTGTAAGGATGACCTAAGTTTCAACGGAATGAAATAAAAGTTAAGTAGTTTGGAAACGTATTTCAAGGAGTTATCGAACCATAAATACTAACGAATTGTTAAACGCAGCAGGGATACCGGCCAAAAGTCCCCTGTGACAAACAGGTTACTGTTCCAGCAATGGGTACAAAGTTTTCACTTCTCGTGAAAATAAAAATTACCAATTACTTAATTCATTCAGTCATACGCTCAGTTCTGTCAGTTTTAAATGAACAGTCAAACTCATCAAACAGTGCGTGTCAACATTTTAACTGCCAGTTGGACTGATACAATCTACCAGTTAGAACCGAGCATTTCAGCATTTAAGGATTTCTATTGCTGCAATTTTTAGGTTGCGATTTAACATGCAGAATAAAATCTTGGAATGATTACGTCGCAGTTAAAATTTTTTATCATAGGTAATTATCGAACTAACCCACCTTTTTGATAAATTTTTCCGTTCAATTCAAATGCTAATATAAACCAAAATGTTTATAACATTTGCATTTCACTAACGTAATAGGTTACATAAAGTTAAATTATAACAGAGACATAGTTAATATTTTAGTACAAAAGAAAATGTATTAGTAATATGTTATTGTTGCTGTTTACATAACAGGTATATGAAATTTTTTATCACCTACAAACATAATTAAGGTTTTCTATGTTTTTAAATAAATCGTAACTATATTTACTTATTTATTTAAATCATACAATGATAACTCATGTAGGATGCTTGAAAATAAAAACACAGTAACTAAATGAAGATTATTTTTATTTGTAATAATACTTATAACTATTATTTTATGTTTACAATTTGTCCGTCTCATACGTCTAATAACCTAATAATACATAATTATATTAATTTACGATACTGCAAAAATAATAGAGTTGTTTCTTAGGTACCGAACGGAATATTACAATAATTATATTGCAAATAATTAAATTACTGATAATTGTTAACATTTAATGAATTGAATTGTATGTGTATCTGTGCTACCTTCCAAACCCTGGTAAACTATAAATAATATTTTTTAAATGTCTAACAAGAAATTATTCAAGCCGAAGGTGATGTTATTATCTTACATAGTGACAAAACGATCTTTGCTTACCATTTTTATGTTTAAAGTTTTTTTTAAAGTATTGTATTTTTGTACAACGTAATATTGTTTAGACTACACAAAACATAACTTGCAAAATGAGATGCAAATATAGAATTGAAGCGTGACGAAAGGAGAAAGAACCCGTAACGAGATGAGACGGTTACGAAACATAATGACCTACTTCGGTATTTACTTTACAGGTGAAAAACCTGGTTCTATTTTCTATTTAAAATAGTCGATTAACATCTGGAGGTGGTTGCTGAAGATTATCAACTTAGTTCTCTAACATGTCTTTCATTATAGAGACATTATCATGGGTATCTAAGACTTCAATTTAAATTATCTTATTTTAGTTACGACTGTTGGTTGCTATTGTGTCACATAGTTTCACGCTTGCGCCTGACGTGTGACGACATCTGTGGACCGACAACGGCTGTCCGAGAAAGGCATTCTCTCACCGGCTCATCGGGCCAAGGTTGTTCGGACATAAAGGGCGACCGTCTGTTACATTACATTACTAAACCGTGTTACAATAAATGCTATAACTACATTCTTATTTTATGTAACACAAAGTAACTATTTCCTATGCAAATAAACTAGAGCTTTACTAAACTGAGACATCATTTATGTTTCGATCTGATGAAAAGGAATTTCTCAGTTAACATTGACTTATTTATTACTCGGATAACATCTCTTTAGCAGAGGTCCAATCTAGTAGATGTCTGATTTTGAAAGGACTCTGCCAACTAAATATTTACACTAGGGGATCAGCTACCAGTGGTTTTATAACTATTTTAAAATTTCGCAGTCTCGAAAAGGAGGAGGGGGCAGTTGCCTGTCCCTCCCTTGACGCAACTTATGATTCATTGTAATGTGAAGGCAAGCTGCCACTGTCACAAGAAAACTATTTTTTTGTCGTAGTCTTTAAGTGTGCCAGTAACCGTATCGAACAATGCACTGTCTACACTTTACATACACTTATGTAATGTTATAATCTACGAATTGAGAAACTTAACCGCTCTCGGCTGTTTTAATAACACTTTGGTAATATTTCACTGTTGCAACACCTAGCGGTTTCGTACTTCGCTCAGTAATTCATAGTTGCATGCTAACATACTCAATATTGTCGATAAAATCAATACATTTGTATTACCCTATTTAAATGCATTTACCCGAGCTAGAGATATAAGAACAATTATGACCTCCTATGGAGAAAACGACCTAGTCTTTTTAATAACTAGCTGCTGCTCGCGACTTGGTTTGGACTTTGGACTGCGCGGATTGTAGAAAAAATATCCAGCGACGTAGCATTTTATTGGTGACATGATGATTAAAGTCGACGAAGAGTTTTAGTTAATCCAAACAAGAACACAAATCTTTTCTTTTTAGTATCTAGTATACATTAATGGAGTATAGATTCCTTTTCACACTAATCGACAACATTACAAAATGCATTAGGTAAATAACAAGTGAAAAATGACAAAATACTAACAAAGTGCATGCAAACGAAGGTGTCGCAAAGCGACGTGCGGCCTTTCAGTGTTGTAATCAACGAATAGTCGGCAAAGCTTCGCGGAAACGAGTTATTACATATTGCATAGCCTTGACGGAGACAGAAAAGATGTTTAATAACAAATCTATCATTACTACTGAAGGAGGCACCAATATCCTTCCCAAATATCAAGCAAAACATTCATGACAGAACAATAACATTCAAGGTAATCTTTGAGCAATTGTTTTTCTGAATACACTATACGATTGATTAATAGTGTTACATTTCACAAAGTTAATTAAAAGTTTTATTATAAAAATAAGAAAGTTAAAGAATTAAATTTTTGAAAAGGAATCTGCTCATTTAGAATAGCAATAGCTTACTACCCCTCGATCATCGGACTGCTCCCCCCCCTCCAAGTATTATACGCTACTTTTTTAATTTCCGCGCTGTCAAAATGCCGACCGATTGACATCTCTGGAACGGGTGGACAGAATTTGACAAAACTTACTTGCAACAAAATTGCACGCGGGAATGCTAAAGATGACCTTTTTTTAAACGAAGTTTGCATGTGAAACCTTGTCTGTACTAATATTATAAAGAGGAAAGATTTGTATTTTTGGATTTTTGTATGTATTGAATTAACTAAAAAACTACTGGGTCGATTTAAAAATTCTTTCACCATTAGAAAGGTAATTTATCTATGAGTAACATAGGCTATATTTCTATTATTTTTAATTTCACGCGGAAGAATTCAGGAGCAACAGCTAGTTTTATAAACAGGCAAATTAATTTGAAAAGTTCTGAATTAAAAAAAAAAACTCTATGGTAACAAATTTATTAATAATAAAATAAAAATAAACTAATAACATTGTGACTAATTCAATTACATTTTTATAAACATGTTTTCTTGAAAATTGCCTAACACCATTTTTTTACTCCTTCATTACGAGTTAATTGCTTTAACTTTTAAGAAGAAATATTAACTAACTTCTTTTAAAGAAAAGATCAGTTATAGAACATAGAGAAAGGTGAACAGAATTTAGAAAAAAAAAGATATTGTTCCCAAACTTGAAATATTATTCATGAAAAATATTGAAAAACAAACATCACCGAGTGCATTTATCTTCAAAAGGAGTAGTTAGGCCACTTTCAAATTAATCACTTCAAATATTGAAAACATTGCTTACTCCATCTACTTATTCAAGATTATTTTAATTATTATATTCACAGATTATTATGAAACTACATAAATAATAAAATAAAACAGCTTAAATATTAATAAAATTTAAAAGTAGTGGCCAGCGTTGCCGGCGAGAGGAGAGCGCACATACACACGCGGTTCTGAAAATTAATAATAATACTTCATACTAATATTATAAATGCGAAAGTATAGATGGATGTTTGTTAGAGTTTGTAGCCTAAACTGCTGAACGGATTTCGATAAAATTTGGTATATATGTAGAGGATAGTCTGGAAAAACACATAGACTACTTACTTTCATTTTTTTCAACCCCCAAGCGGACGGAGTCGCAAGCGTCAGCTAGATCTATATCTAGTTCTATATAAACGGCGTTATCTGTAATTAGTACGAAGATTTATTTTACCTGTTATTCGAAAGATGTGTTTAAAGATGGATAACCCATCTTTAATCAGCCTTCTTTTGAGGCAATTCTGAAAATAACAAAAACATTAAGTGAAAGTGGAAAATATATCCATATTGCCTTTCATCTTATAGGGTTATGGTAGGAAACAACGTTCGTCCGTTATAAACTTTAAAACTATAATATCGTTGTATTTAAATCATAAATTAGGAGCTGTCCACCGTAAACTTCGTTAGCGCAGAAAATTCTCTTTCAGTCAAAGTTCCGTCCAAATCAGTCCAAATGTCAGCTACCTTCTAGTGAAAGTCCGGTCGAAATTGGCAAAGTCGTTTCGGAGATTACCCGGAACAAACGCGGCTTGCGGACAGACAAACACTTTTTAAATGCGACTTTCGTTATCAACACCGCAAATACATCATCTTCCAATTTTATTCTATGTATAGATACATAAGGAAAATACATGTTAATTCCCATACAAAAAGTAATGATCTTTAGTAGATCATTGTTTTGTCCTAAAACCGTGTCTGTGGCATAAATATAACTCACCTTTAATGTTTTTTTCCTCTTCCAAAGCCTTTCCAGTTTTGTGCTTTTTTAATCCTTTCACATTTTTCTCTTTTTCCAGGCAGTCCCCTTCCAGCGATTCAGGTTCCCCACGTTGTGTCTTAACAGCTTCCTGTCAAGTTAAAATTGCTTTAATAATGTCTAGCCCACGGCTGCAGGTATTTATAAAATTGACCGCTGCGACACTTGTATTGATGCTGCGACTTCTCGACTTGATCACAGTAGTCGTGTCGGTTGTTTATGAAGGACTCTGTCCTGCGTGTCGCGGTGCCAATAAAAGTTGCAGTATTTGAAGTGTCCTAAAAAGACAAGCCAGGAAAATGGTATATGATGTTATTGTTCCCTGAAACAAGAATTATCCAAAGAAATTAAAGTATTACAAAGAACAGCACAAGCGTTTTTCATTCCCAATTAATACAAATACTTCTTCTTCTTTAATTACTACAAAAAAAAATCCCAATAAATATGTCAATTATTTTGTTCAAGAAGTTCGCCGGTGGTTATACCTGGTCCTTGAAGGTTGTGTTTGTGGAACAAGACGCGCCCGGCTCCTTGGCAAACTGCGCGGGTACAATTCCAGAAGTGCTCGGCAACTCGAGTTGAACATCTGCCTTCTTTGTCGCCCATTGTATGGTAAAGGACTCAGTCTCGCGAGTCTCAACACCTGCTTCCTCATCACCCGGATGTTTCTTAGTCATCTTCTTCCTCGCTTCTGGAAAGATTTTTTTTTATAACAAAAGGGGCAAACAAAGTGGTTAACGGGCCGAACGGGAATGGCGGGAACGCCAATGGACATCCGCAACACCAGAGGAACAAGAGATGCGGTGCCGGCCTTTGAGGAAATGATAGGCTCGCTTTTTGAAAGACCCTAAGTCGTGTTTATTTCGAAATGCTGCCGGGGACAGACCGTTCCACAACGCGGCTGTGCGGGGCAGAAAGTTCCGCGAAAACCGCACGGTTGTGGAATGACAGCCATCGAGATGGTGCAGATGGTACCTGGTGATCTATCGTGTCGTTCAATGACGAAACTCGGCGGCAGGAATCGTTCTAAACAACTCTTCGGAACACTTTCCGTGGTAAATGCGGTAAAAAATGCAAAGGGAACTAATGTTCAAGCAGTAAAAGGCCAAACTGGCTTCCAAAAAGCTGGGAATGCTTTGTTAGTTGCCTTGTCTTCCAAATGCCCGCGAAACTGATCATCACTAAATATCTCGAGGCCAAATGCGTTTAATAAAATTAAAAAAATCTATCGACATATTATTATTAAATTGGAAGGATTATTTACATTATTTGTGGCATAAACCTTACCTAAAATTAGCCCTCGAATGAGACTCCTCATTGCGGGTTTCTTTTGACGCTTGACAGCAGAGTTGGTGCAGCCCTTTTTCGACGGTTTCTTATTTTCGGTGGAGTTCTCCTCTTTCCAATTGTTTGCTTTCAGTTTTTCTAGTTCGCTAAACCTTTTGTCTATGTCTTTCACCTGCAACAAGACACAATCAGTGTTAGCATTGGAGACGGAGACGGGTGGGTCGTGTAGTGGTAGTAAACAGCGATATGAAATGACCTGCAAGTAGACCATGTCCCAGAAGCCGTGCAGGTCTTGTGACAGAAGGCGCGCTTCGCCGCTCGTCCCCTGCTTCTGTTTCTTGTTCGTTTCTAAAAGCGAACGGAACTGCGCCATCTTCTGTGACACCAGTAGCCTTCCCTGGCCCGTCGCCCCCAGCACCAGACTCTGAGATCACCAGACCATTCCCAAATTGTAACAATGTTATTGGTGTCGTCTACACCGCCCCGCACCCTACTATACAAAGTCTGTAGTCTTAAGACAGAAACCATACTAATCTTACTAATTACTATAATAAACCTTAGGGGCAGTACTACCAAATTCTTGTAAATTGCCTGATAATAATCAAACAGATAAAGTACGTGACGGAAATATAGGATTATTTTGTTTAACAATTTAAGATACCGATAAGTACGAACCTGGTAGTTACTAAAAGCGGCAACGTCGCACGACGCTTAAAAGTTCCTATTCGGGCAGTTTCGTAAAAAAACTTTATTTTTCATGTTAAGATAAATCTTTCCTATTTTCCGCTTAAAATAGGAATGATTGTATACAATATATGCTAAGTATTAAAAAAAATACTTATTTATTATAATATTTGGTTAAAAATAAAATATATAAAACGAAATAAATGGAATGAATTGCAAATCGGAATTTCGTTGACATGACAACAATCCATTGTTATTTGTCATAAAATTAATGCAGAACAAAACAACAGATAGCATTGCAAAAGTTTAATCACTTTTACGTAAATTATCTGACATCAATGAAGGTCTAAAATAGCAGAATGTATAGATCTACATGATTCTTTTGGCACCCGGCAATGAGAAGTGACATTTAATGTCAGGGTAATGTCAGGGTAAAGTAAGTGACATAGCTTGTCAGTTCACTTCGCGTCATTACTTTACGCATTTTGTGTGGCTTTTTAATGTTATTCCATGAAATAAAGTGTTGAAAGAGTTTAAAAGTAGTGAAAGAGAGTTTTTTTTTAAGTGAGAGATATTTTTATCGCCAAAAAGAAGTAGGGCGGGTCCAGTAATTACATTTGAAAATGTAAATCATCTTGTGTCTGTTGCAATCAGAATTTGTTACCCTTTGTTAATCAAGAAATTCCCTAACTCTCAAGGCGCGCCATATTTTTAGATTTGTAATTAAAAAAAATGTTATATACTAATTGACTATTTTGCTGAAAGTTGTTTTTTCATATTAACTTACGTATTAAGGAAATTACTGTGTGTAAACATTAATGTATCAAAAACTAACCACACAGTTCTACTGTGCGTTGATTATAAACAACAATAATTAAGATTTCTATTATTCTGTAGTTGAGCGCTAAGTAAGACTATTTCTATTATGTTAAGACTATTCCTTCCCCAACTGTCTCAATGCACTCTGCAATGCTAAAAGTTTGCTACAAAGATTCTTTAACTTTAGAGCCTTCTGACAAACGAAGTCTGGGGCTTTTCCTAGTTACATTGTAAGGTACAAGTACTTTCTTTACAATTTGCGTTTTCGTTATCAAAAGGAAAGAGTTTCCTTTTAATGCGGACATATTACCTTGCTGGTAACCCTAAATGCTCAGAGGCGCCATCCTGTCAATATCAAAAAGGTACCACAAGAGCCTTGTAGCACTATAATTTACATAGAAATTTGGTATAGACGTAAAGGATGGTCTGGAAGAACACACAAAATACTTACTTTGTTTTTTTTAATACCACACGGACATAGTCGCGGGCGAAAGCTAGTTATAAATATGTCGGAGTCGGGGCGGTTTGCAGAATTCAATTCCGAAGGAAGATCATATACACAGTAACCATCCTGCATCGTGGGCGTGCGTATGTCGGGGATAGTAAAGTAACAATCGCTTAACATTAGAAATACCATTCTTAGTTAACCACCATCTTAGATGAAAACTACACAACACGGTCTAATCGTATTGCAAAAATTTACAGAGATTAAGCAATTGACTACATCATTATTATTTGACAGTAACTTTATACGTTCAAAAATTTACAATCATTTCGCGCCGTTAAAAAAATAAATACAAAGTCCAGTTCAAAATACTTTACATATCTTTTTCTAAGCTTAATTAAAATGTGATAAAAACGTGTACCTGTGCAAAGTCAGGAAGTTTCGTCGTTTTGAAGATTTTATCCCACGAGGCACACGTCTTGACAATCCGATCAACCTCTGATTTGAATTGTGTTTCTAACTTTATAATGGTGGCATCTTCCTCTGAGATAACTAATATGAAATAAAAGTAATTAAGTGTGCATTCCCACAGTGTTAACTTTTACATTAACTCATAACATGTTTTTAAGGCTATTGCAATACCTGTCATGATGTATAGATACAAATATTTGGCAGTAAAATAGAAGGATGGAAGAAGCCCACAGGTGGCAAAAATGTGAATGTTAAAATAGATGAGTGTGGTAACACATATGGATAACAAAGAGAAATTAAAACTTTTGTCTAAGCAAGTGAGGAGGGGTCCACCTGTGTTAACTTACTTAGCGCAATTGTTAAGTTAAAGAAAAATTATAGTACAGCAGTGTGAAGTCTTTTTTTTAGGAAATATTTTCACATAAAACAAAACCTCATTTCATAAACTAAATAAGGACATACCTTTCTCTGCGATTTGATTGTCCGACCCTTGTTTTGTACTAAGTTTTGACTTGTAACTGGGGCCAGCTTGTGATTTCAGCTGACCGACCTTTGAAACAGTTTGGTATTTTTCTTTCTTAGAAGGTATGAATTGATATTTTTTACTTATGTTAGACTCATTATTCTTTGGAATATTAGGAACCTGTTTATTGGCATTTACAACTTTATCTTTTTGTTTAATCTTGGGCAGTGGCGGTGGTGGAACATAATACAGTGGAACTTTAACAGTTCCACTTAAAAAAGGTTTTAATTTTTTTGCAGGTTCTTTTTCCTGATTTCCTTTTTTTGGTTTCCGCTCCAACAACCTTTGCTTATACTGTTTTTTGGGATTTATAACTTCTTCAATGGGCTTTTCTAGATCCCTACTAGCATCGAAATTAGATGCTTTCACAATTTTCCTTCTGTTATTCAATAACTCCTTTCGTTTGGCTACCTAAAAATATATGTTAATTGTAACAGAAATTGACAAACATATTTTTAAAAAATAAGTGGTTACAATCATACATTACATTTAAAAGTTACCTACTCCAGCTCATACAGCAAACTCAGGTAGCTTACCTAGGGGCTAGGAGTTCTTACAGTAAGTAAGGGGTGACTGTGGGTGGCCTTAACATATATCTTTGAATTTATCCGCAGACAACAACTTAATATAGCATAGGAGATTAATATGGAATGAAATTCAAATTGATATGACGAAACTTTGTAATTTTAAATGATCATTAAATTGTCAAATCCTTCTGGATAGAGCCATCTGTTATTTGTTTAGCTTATAGGTTCAAACTTATTTTGCAGAGCAACTTACTGTTCAGTGCAAAATACAACCTCTTTGGTTGGTAAGAAGTGTGCTTACACCAAAGTGGTTGCATACTGGCCACCATACTTTTATGTGGTTTGTCATTAAAGACATGATAAAAACATTAGGTGAAGAAAAAAGAAATTGCACAAGAAAAGATGGGTTCAGTATAGTTTTTAAATGACTGTAAATATGTAAATAAGTTTAAATAAAGTTGTAATGTAAACATAGAAGTTAGTTTTGTAATTTTTGGGTGCCACACTGTCAATAACAAATTAACTGTCGATAACACTTACCCCTTCAGGAATTCTGAACTGTGGTGTAAGTTTATATTTCTTTGCCATATCTCGGCTTGACTTCTTCGGCATACCAGGTTTATTCGAATATGATTCTATAAATGAAGTGAAATATTACATTACTACTATTTACTTATCTTCCTCTATACAACATGTGCCAACATTTTATGATAAGTCGGTACTGGCATATGACTAGCTAACTACATAGGGAAATAAAATAAGTAAACTCAAAATTTTAATTATTCAAGGTACCAGTAATGTGCCGTTCACACCTTGTTGTACTGACCATATACAGAGGTAGGACAGTAGTGTCAGCATGGCATTCTTTGTCCACATTATACCAGTCCAACATTTGCCATTAAGTTTTCAAAACTTCACTGACAACGAGTCTCAGAATGCGGTTGAAATTTTTTTTTATATACCCTACTTATAACTCCAAAAACCAATTATCAGATAAGCATTCTGGCATCATCACCACCTCACTATACATCCCCACCGAGGGGCTCGGAGCCTACCCTAATAAGGGGTGACTAGGCCATAGTCAACCACGCTGGCCAAGTGCGGGTTGGTTGACTTCACACATATCTTTGAATTTTTTCGCCGATATGTGCAGGTTGCATCACGATGTTTTCTTTCACTGTAAGAACGTCGGGTAAATTATGTACATATGAAAATTCGAAAAATCGAAAATCACATTGGTACACTGCGGCAGGATTCGAACCCAAGACCTGTGGATTACAAGTCAAAGTTCAAACCACTGAGCCACCGACGCTCCTAAGCATTATGGCATTGGAGTATTTTTTTTTTAATCCTGGCACAGTCATACCAGTTAAAACACATAATTATTCAAAATTAACAATCCTTATTCAGCGCTATGGACCAACTGTTCTGGCAATATATTAAAAGAATTGATAGGTTTTCCCATATGGATCAAGGTAAACAAGTTGGTGGCAATAAAAGATTAAAAAACAAAGCAAAAACACTACAAAGAGGGTATTTTACAAAATGGTGACTTCAAAAACTTATTTTTTTACTTTTCATTTGCTAAAAATCACTATGGCTATTTGTTTTATGCATTCCTGATTTTGAAATACCCAAATTGCATGTCATAGATTTATAAGCATTTTTCACCATTTTGGTCAAAGTTAAACTAAATTCGAAGCTACCCAAACGGATTAGAATATAGCGGCTTAATAAGGTTTTGTAAGATACTGTTATCGACCAAAGAATTACAATATCTCGTAATAAAAATTAAGCTATAACAGTTACGGAAAAAGATTAGGTTTCATAAGATTTACAGTAAATAGTACATACAGAAAAATTCACATACCCATAGTAAGTTGAGATACAGCTACTACGCCGATCCTACGGTAGTAGGATAAGGAGAAATATGATGATGATGGTAAGTTGATCACAAACAGCAGTAAAAAGGCACCACTTTAATTATATTAAGATTATTTAAATCTAAACTGTCGCTTATGGAGACAAACGAACGCAATTTGACATTCCGTGAGAAGAGAGATTTGCTTGTACACGGTTTATCTAACTTTGCATTATTGGGTCGTGCATTATCAGGTTGTGAATTATTGAGCCGTACCGATATTGTACGGTCTGATAATTGGAATCCATTTGGTGAATTTCGGCCATACGATTACACGTACACGAATTATTTGGCTGTGCGTTATTGGTAAGGTCCGATAATATACAAGGTGGTAATCCGTGTACATCAATTATCACTTCTGTTATTTATGGTTTGTGTCTCGTTTATAGATTTAAATTAGGAAATATAATTGTTGCCATTATAACAATAAATACAAAAAGCAAAATGTAAAAATCCTGGATACCAAATGTCTGATTAACAGAAGCCGTTCGGTAACGTTACTTTTAGTACAGTGCCGAGTAACATTACTTATTAGTACATCGTACGTGTACTACCCAAGACTAACACACTAAAATCTAAATTATTTAGACACACTATAATTGATATATTTTAAGCCGGTTTTAATGGGGCAAGAATTTTTGAAGTCGGTCCAGCACTTTTGAGTTATTTCAATACTTACAAAAATACGTAATGGGCGTCGTTGACCTCCTCTGTGTTCCCGCCGCTCGTTTGCCCCATTCTTTTATAAAAAATACAAATACGTCCACGTGGATTAAAAAAAAAAAACAAAAGTGAGTGTCCTTCCAGACTACCCTCTATCTTAATCATCCCAATTTTCTTCGAAATCCGTTCAGCTATTTAGGCTACAAACTCTAACAAACATGCATCCATCCATCTAAACTTTCGCATTTATGACATTAGTATTAGTAAGATTATAGATTATAGATAAGTGGGTTCTTCCGATATCACAATTAATGTTATGGACATCTTTTATTAGTCTTGCTTAGTTTCTGTGTTATAATTCTTCCATATCCCTTACTTTATTTTTCAACATCCATAACATGTTTTATTCATCTTTGAACTACGCAAAAACAACATAATACTAGTTTTATATAATAAACGCTGCTTTTATTAAAGGATCATAAAAGTTACGGTGTGGTTTGATCTAGAAGATAGAAATTTGATCAAGGAAATAAATACACAATTTTATTTCTTCAAGATATGATTTAATAAGGTTTCTAATGTAAAGAAAATAACAGACGAGAGCTACAATAATACTTCGAAAATCTGCAATGAATCAAATACAATTTCAGATAATACACTTATTACATTACACAGGATTACAATAACAATATACATTAAATACGGTAATTGTCGAAAAGGAATACATGCCTTTCTTACTGTTACTGTCGTACCGTTGTTTTTGGTTTTAAGTTTTCTAAAATCTAAATCTATATTTGTTTTTGAAGAATAAATACAGAGTCTAATAGATTAAGAAAGTGGTAAAATTCAGGAGAGGAGTTTGTAAAGTTACATCAGATCTTTTGAACCTCAAATTCTTGTCTACTTTAAAGTTAAGATTTATTTACATCTAAACTACGTGGTTCATGTAAAATTATAACATTTAAAAACTTCTCATCAATAAAATCATTGTCTTTGTCTCATATAGACTCTACAGATAATTAATAATAAAGATGAAATTGGTTTTATCGTAAAAAACTTACAACAAACAAAAATTACAATAAAATCATACATATAAATCATCACAATGTTTCATTGGTCAGACCATCACATAACTAAAATGCCTCTACAAGCTTTACACGTTGTATCTTTTCAATTAGTAACTATTCTAGCAGTATGACCATTGGTTTTCATTACCGTAACAAAAGAAAATAAGGGATGGCAATATATTTTATACAGCGTAACCCATGCCACATTTACACCTTTCAATAAATAGACAAAAATGCAATAAGACGAATACTCACATTAAATTAAATTAAATTATTTTGTAAATTAATACAAAATAGTAAATCACAGAGTCAACATGTAGACTGAATAACATTTACGTAACTATGTCAAATGTACAGTATCTAATTTAAGCATGTCCATATGTATTTTAGTATAGGTATACATTATTTGAGAACTATAAAATGTCGCTATCTATTAGTGCGAGAAATGCAAGACAGTTTTCTGTAATTGCAACACCGTATATATGGTTTATTTTTAAAACTTCCTCATATTATCAATTGAATTTCTTGTTGCGGGTATGGTAAATTACAAAGTCTATCACAAATAAGAACTACTATCATTCATTTATAGAAGCTTGCAGTTTGAGCGATTTAAAATTGTGCCAAGTATATATATACAAGAATATTGAAAGGGAAATACGGTAGAAAAACAGGCGGATTCAACATCAGGCACAGATAGTATAGGAGAGTACTACATTTTAATTACACATGTTAAATATTGTCCTAAAAAACTCTTCTTTGACATTTATTTGTGGCCAAAGTATTTGAACTATAAATATTGTTTTTACGTTTATAAATACATCTTTAAGATATAGACACGAAGCAGATAGTATACATGTATAAATACAGAATAGATCAATCAATACAGATCAATAGGTTATAAATATTTAACAGTTATTATTTAGCTACCATGCATATGGTGAACCATGTTGTCAGGTTTACAAAGGGCCTATATACAAAAGACTATGTAGTACGTCATCACACCAGTACTGCAGAACAATATAATTTATATATAATTTACAATAAATACTATGACCATTCATCAAAGTCAGCTCACCGTAATAACGGATGTACATATGAAATTCGAACCCAGATTTGTAGATTATAAATAGAACGCTAACCCCTTAACAGACGTATCCATACGTTCTGTTTACATTTTTTTTTCATACAAATACGATTGCAATTTAATGATTTTAATCAAATTTTTTCAAGCGATACAAATGTAACATCCCTGTATTCAACATCACCTTGTCCCTAATTTTACTATAATATCAGACCATTGTCAACCCCTTTCTATTACAAACCCCTTGTCCAAGCACCAGCAGATGACGTACTTGTACATCTTGTTATCCTCTATCATCAACTGCAACAAGTTTATATGAGCCGTTAAGAGACGCGCCCCTATCGGTGATTCAGACAATATATAAAATGACATGAAAGTAAGACTACATAGGTATCGACAAGGATTCTCTGACACTATTTATACTGACAGGGGGCGTTAGTGAGCTATTATAAATAAGTTTGGTTTATGCTCACCAGCTTTGTCGGTCTATAACTCTCAATAGCCTAGAAAACATTTAATAATGAAGAAAAGTACATTATACATTCAGAAGGAGTAAATGTTTTTCATCATTAATAATGTCATCTCTTAGTATTTAAAACTTTAATAAGATTTTAAAATATTTTTTTATTGAGACTCTGACCTACTATTTTATCAATTTAATATCTCTATAAGATTCAATTATAATTATAATTAAATTTAAGATTCAATTTAAAATTGTCGGAGGTTTTAACAAACTAGAATGAATAATTATATAAAATTGTTAAATCAACAATAAATTTTTCTAAACAGTATATTATTTTGTACGAATGTATTAAAAAAAATATATCTAGTATTGGGTCTTTGATTTGTGCCCTAAATTGTGCTGTATACTATAAAATGCAATTAAACGAGAAATCTAAACACTAAAGTAGATAATTTAAGTTAGGCGGTAACTAATACATCGGTGTGTCCAATACACTAAAACACCACACAATAACGTCTGTTCGAGTTTTCTCTGTGCGAAATGTTCACTATAATTAATTCGAACTACATTGAAATACATAGGTAATTTTCACTGTATTCGCGAAGAATGAAACAGACGTAAAACGTCCATTTTCTTCAAGTACCATAGTCACTCATTTAATTTTTATAATTCACTGCACGAATTGTCTCTTAGCGTAAGTATTTTGACCAGTTAATTAATTCAGTAAGATTTTCACTGCACTTTGGTGTAAGTTTTGTTTAGTGTCATTTTGCAATAGCACTTCACTTCTTCGTTTCAACACGAACCAATTTCGCAAGAGAATTTGCGCACACATCGATAATCATTACGAGATTTTTTCTATCAGATTTAACTCGTACTTAGCGTTTACATAGTCTTTACATTTATTATATACTGATAGCATGGCGTTGTCAGCAGATAATCTAAGCTAGGTCTAAGTCTACGAGCGAAGGGGGGCATCTACCATTAACATAGTTTTATCCCGTGTTATTTTTATATCTATTCTACATTTCTCGCTTAAGTAGCAACGTTTTGCTCTAAACACACCAAAAACTTGTATATTCATGGCGTTTTCACATATTTGAGCAATTTAATTACTGTATGACGTCTTCATCTTTTCATTGGTTTGATGTACCTGTAAATAAATAAATAACTGAAGTCTATGCAATTTTGTTAAATATTTTATCGAAATCATTAGTACGACTAGTATAAAATAATAACATCAACCAGCGTAATTAACAAAAATGAGAAATTAATTCATAATTGAGTTATGATTAATGAGAAATTTGTTAAAATAGAATATAATAGGCATGCTTTTTTTTATTTAAACCAACATACTATTAATCTACTTCAAAAAATACTAAGTAAAGATAGACTAAGACGTAAAATTACAAGTACAAAGAAACTGATACATAGTACCTAATACACAAAAGTATTACCGGGGAATAAATCACTATATATAAGATAATGTTAATGATGACTCAAACAATGGTACAAATAATAAAATAAAAAGCCGTTCACAGCGATATCAACCTGTCATCACCTCGATGGGGAGAGAGCTACGTCGTGGTATATTAGAGAGTGCTTTCTCTTGAGCGTGTGTCGCTCTAGCGAGCCACTGCTGGCAAGTGGCCAC